GACCACCAGAAAACACATATATAATTACATATTGTTTTTGTGATTAATCACTATGCTTTAATTATGTTCAATTGGTAACAATGAAATTGGGGGTCACCACAACATGAGGAACTGTATTAAAGGGTCGTGGCGTTAGGAAGGTTGAGAACCACTGCAAAAAAATGGAGATATGGGTTTTAAGATAATCTGAGCAGAATGCACAGCATAAGGAGTATAACGTTACTCACATCCTCATAATTGCAAGTAGAGGAATTCCGTGTCACACTTCTAGGAATGAGCACTAGAAATCAGTTGTACTCTGGAACAAAATATACTACAATACTTGTATCAGAAGGCCCTAGGCTTCACTATTCATTCTGAATTTGAGGGTATGGCTGAGGGAAGTCAGCCAGGAGGAGACCACTTTCTGAGTCAGGATCTCCTAGATTTTGAAAGTGAGTAAATAGGGGTCATGATAAAATGAGACATTCACCCTGCATGGGGCCACCTGAAACAGCCAGCTAGCATCCAGAACACAACTTATTCTCATGCTTTGTGTGTTTGGAAGGAGAAATCACAACTGAGGACTTGTCTAAATATTACTGCTCAGCAACAGTATGATCATGGAAAGAGTTGATGGGAAAGAAAACATGAATAGGAAATTTGGAAGCAAAGTAGAGCCCACTTGTAATCAGTATTTGGTAAAGTCTTGAGTACTAGTAAATTTGTTTTAAAGGGGAAAGTAATTCCATAGGATCATGTCATGTTGAAGCTATAGACTTTAAAGATATATTCATTTACTTTTCCCTACCTTTTTTCTCCTTCCTTCCCTCCTTCAACAGTGGATGTCTGAGAGCATGTTAAATGGCCTTTACAGATCAATCTATAGATAAGTAGCTTTTCCTTTTAGCCTCCTTTGTGGCACTATTCTCTGCAGCATCCTTGGCATTCTAATGTTTTACTAAATTCCAAAGAGTTCCTCACTGGTCAATAAAGCTTCTTCTTAGAGAGCAGGCTAATGTTCACCAGCTTCAGCTTCTATTAGACTCCATATGAGAGACTCCTTACAGAATGTGACAAAGGGTGAATCCAGTTTTCCTTAGGTTTTAACTTAATTAGGGTACTCCTAAGGCTGAGGAAGAACCACACTCAAAGGGCCAAAGAGCCACATGTGGCTCGCGAGCCACAGTTTGCCGACCACGGCTAGCCTGTCCAAGAGCACCTATTTTTGTTTCCTATCTGTGCCCTGGTAGTAAAGCTCAAACTTATTTTGGGTTTGCTGATGACCATACTTCCAAGAGGATATCAGTGCAGGGAAGCCAAGAAGCTACCATCTGTACTGTGTTTATATCTCAAGAATTATTTGAAGGTTGATTACTCAGCTGTGCCTCTTGACCTTCTAGTGTTACACTAAGAAAGGTGACTAACTTTCTTTTTGTCACTTCACTTTTAATAACTCATGTAATTCCTTCAACATATGTGAGAGGTCATGGAATTGACTAGATTGCGCTATTAAGTATTGAGCCCACAATGCTTTACATGTGGTAGACACACTGAAAGATCATTCATGGTGAACAGAAAGTGGCTCTCATCTGTGGTAAATGATTAACAACCAGTTATGGGGGGGGGAGGGAATACCTGCTCTGTAGTATTTGCTGATTTCCATAGTGGAATATTAAGAACAACTTTATAAATTCAAAAACTTAGATGAAATGGAGACATTCCACAAAGTGTAACTCAAGAAAAAAAAAGAAAACCTAGAAACTCTATATCTATTAAAGAACTTGAATTCACAATTAAATCCCACCAGAAAGTCCAGATATCTGCACTAGAAAAACATATCAAATAGATAAGGAAGAAATGATACCAATCTTGCATAAAGTTCTTTAGAAAATAGAGAACACTTTCCAAATTATCTTTTAAGGCCAGCATTATCCTGTTACCAAAATTAGAAAAAGACAGCATGAGAAAAGAAAACTAACTGTAGATCAATAAAGGTGGAAAACAAATCCTAACAAAATATCAGCAAGTTGAATCCAGTATTATATCTAAAAATTATAATACATAATTACCAAGAATTAAAAGTTGCTTTAACATTAAAAATCAATAAATGTAATTTATCATATTAATGTTTTACTAAATTCCAAAGAGTTTAGTAAACTACATGATAGGAGAAAAACTACATGATTACCTTAAAATACACAGCAAAGCTATCTGAAAACAAACCAGCACTCATTCATTTCATACATAAATTAACAATAGATGAGATATTACTCAACTTGATAAAAGGCATATAAGAAAAACCTGCAGCTAAGATCAAATTTAAATGTTGAAAGACTTAACACTTTCCCTAAGATAAGGAAGGAGACAGGCATGCTCACTCTTAATCACATCTAATGAACATTTTGCCGAAGGTCGTAGGTTGTGCAATAAGAAAAGAAAAAGCAATAAAAGGCATACAACTTATAAAGAAGAAAAACTGTCTTTATTTGCAGATCATGCACATATAAAAGTCTAAAACACTTTATAAAATTCTCAAACTACTAAGTGAATTGAACAAATGTCAACACACAAAAATCATTTATATTCTTATACTGGCAACAAAGAATATAAAAGAAATTTAATACTATCTATAGTAGCATAAAAATCAAATGCTTAGTGGTAGACTTAACAAAATATGTGCAAGATCTATATATACGGAAGACTACAAACATTGAGAAATTAAAGATCTAAATAAATGGCGATATAATATGTTCATGGGCTAAAGACTTACTATTGTTAAGATGTCATTTCTTCCCAAGTTGAATATATTGATTCAATAGTGATAATCAGAACTCTAGCAGGATATTTTTATAGAAATTACTATGCTGAGATTCTAAAACTTAATAGGAAATGCAAAGGACTTAAAATAGCCAAAGCAATTTTGGAAAGAACAGAGAGAGAGAGAGAGTTTGAAGCAGAATCCTAAAATGACCCCAAGATTCCACTCCCCCTCCTATTTCTGCTGAGAGGCCAGTATAATTCCTTCTCGAGTATGGGAGGGGCCTGTGAATATGATGGGATTTCACTTTCATGATTAGGTTTCATTATATGGCAAAGGTAAGAGAATTTCCACCTGTGGCTCCATCTCAGATTGAAATGGCGTAGTGCCTGTGTGGACCCCAATGTAAATCTTTTGTTCTCACTCTACAGAAACAAATGCCTCAGGTCAAGGGATACATTTCACAGTCAACTCCTGCGGTCAGACCTAGGACAGAGGCCCACACAGGCCCTGAGGCATACTTGTGTCTCTGGGAATTCCAAGGTCATGGTTTCCTGGGATGTAGACTAGAAGAGGAGGGGTGCAGGTTCCATCTAGACAAGCCACTCAGCCCTGGTATCGCCTCACTCCATGGTAAGGAAAGAGGCTCAAGGTGGCTAGAGTAGGGCCTTCCAAAGCAGGACATTTCAAACTCTTATGTGCATATGAATGACCCCAGGCTCTTATTGAAATGCAGGATCAAAACACATCAGGATGGGAGTGGTATTCTGCACATCTAAGAAGCCCTTAGGTGCTGCTGATCCATGGACCCCACTTTGTTAGCAAGGCTGTAGCTTGTAGGTCTGCGGGCAGGTAACACTGATAGCTATTATATTTGAAGTCTGTAGTGGGATGAATAAACTAAAATTGTGGATAATTAAAAAATTATGTATTATACTTGTAACCATCCTAATGATAAGAACAGGCTTTTTTTCTTTTTTCATCTTGTACACTTACCAGTGAGTGAAAATAGTTCACCCAAAAGCAGGTAAATAACTGGGAACCCACTCATATTAAAATTATGTGTATAATCTACATTTGTATATTGCAGTTATCATTCAGTATGTTTTATGAAAGAATAAATGTTCATAATATCCTAGATTTTAAGGATCATTGTTTTTCAGGCAAGTCAATCCATGTAGTAATTGAGATACTTGGAATATAAATTTGGAACCCATCTGATTACTAGCCTTGAGCTATAACCACCAGGGGTTTTATAAAAATTGGCATTAAAATATTTATTATTTTTATTAATAAAATGCAGGGACATGGATGACATAAGAAATGAGATGTAAATTGTTTCTGTTGAATATTCATGAGGCATTTTATCATTCTCTAGTATTTATTGGTTGAGATATAACTCTACAGAGACTTTGATCGATCCTCCCTCTGGGATCAAATGCTACATTTACTATGTACAAAAGCATCCACTTTTTCTTTTAAATTCTATGCTGAAGGTTAAGACCTTGGGCCATTCTTTTCTTTATTGTACCTGAACTTATTCTCCCATCATTAGTTTGAAGAAAAATGATAATAAATTGAGTACTCTACTCTCTTTTGATGATGGGTCAAAATCCACCTCTGGAACCCAGATAAACTTACAAGAGAATTAGGAATCTTCCTTTGCCCTCCATACGCTCTACTTCTCAGAGCAGCCAAAGCCCCTGCATAGGGTACATACTAGTAAATTAATACATTTGCTCGCAATGTGACTTTGGGACATTTTATAGCAGCGATTCTAATGCAGTTAGTGGTGAACTAGAAATTTGAGAATGCGAAGATTAATTTAAACCACATGATGAGTTCAAGGAAAAGGGACATCCACTACAGATTCTTGAATGTGTGCTAACTCTGTACTGTGGGGAATGGGATCCAAAACCACCAGTGAACTTTTAAACCCTCTTGAGAGGAATCAAACCAACCCAATTAGCCCTGGGAGGGAGCTATTGCAGACAACAGACAGACCATTTCTCTCCCCCTCAAAGAGATCCCTCTGCCTGAGAAAACACAATTGAGAGATCAGGGAAGGAGGAGGGCCTCCAACCATTACCACTAATGGCCTGAAGTTAGAACTGTCTTTCTGGTCATTAGCTGGTTTACTGATTTGTCTTTCATTATAGATTACAAAAACTGTTGGGTTCTTTGAACAATAGATAATTAACAAATTGTATGTTGTGGATAATTGGTGAATTTGAAATAAAGGATTTCTTTTCCCTTCCAGTTTGTTGTAGTGGTGTTCTGGATCATTTATGCCTATGACAGAGAGATGATTTACCCGAAGTTGCTTGATAATTTTATCCCAGGGTGGCTGAACCACGGAATGGTGAGTCAACTAAAACAAATGATAACTTTCATTTTTTTTAATCTATTAAGTGCTAACTTAGGCTTTCCATAGACTCTCTAAATAACTGTGAAATGTTGGAAGGTTATAACCAAAGAAGAACACTGAGTGTAAATAAAATAATGTCTTCCCATGAAATTGAGTCACTACTAAAGCTGTGCATAAAGGAATCCACAGTTTATAAGAGGCACAAGTGTGTTAGATAATACAACTAGCTTATTCAGGGATGCATTTGCACCATTGAAAGGCTCATCCACTCATGGAGCCTGAGAATCAATTCCCACCTGCACAACTACTGACACTCTGCTCCTCCTCCACTCACATCAGTGGGATTGTTCTGGAAGTAACTGCTTATTGTACTGGAGAATTTCTCCTGGAGGAGCAGCAGGGCTATTCTGTTTCCTGGGAGATGGGCATTGGAGGTGTCCTTAGGTGTGGCTGCCTTGTCAGGGTCTGCCCATCCCAGGATATTGGCCTGCGGCTGCTAGGGCTTTTCCTTCTCCTTGGTCTAATTCTTTCTGATGCTTTAGCCATTGTGTTACCTTTCCAAGTTTCAAATCAAATACTTTGGATGGCTTGCACATTACTTTACAAGATTTGAAGAGATATTATCTCCAAAAAAATATTCCCTTTCTGCTTCTGGAATTGAGCACTATTTTGTTAGTAACTAAGAAGCCTGCAATTTTTTTTTGGTTACAGTAATTTTTAGACCGTCACTGGGTGCTCCTGGAGAAAAGGGCAACCCATTACAGAAATTATAGGGGAGAAAAGAGCTACATATAGTGTCTTAGGTCCAAAATAACAGTTTGCTCCCTGCCCCAATTCTGGTATGTTTTAAGAAAAGTGGTGTGTACTAACAAATAAATAGTATTATGCCGAATGGCTTTGATCAATCCTTTTGTAAGCCTCTTTGTCAAAAGTGGCTCGTCTCAGAGAACTAGAAGTTTATTTGAGCCCAATAGAGCCACACTGTTGAAGGATTAACATGGCACCTCTAGTCTAATTCCCAAGAAATCAACTCGGTCTTACTGCTTCACTTTAGCCATCTAAGGGACCTGACTTGGTTACTCGGCCCCTCTTTAACTTCCTACTTCTCTTGATTGTGAAAGCTCTTTCATGACTACATGTCTTTGCATCCTCTGCCCCATATGCTCTTCCCATTCTTTGCTGGGAAACTACTGCTCATCCTGCTAGTTTAGATAACATCTCTAAGAAGTCTTGCCTCACTCTCCCAAGTCAAGTTAGCTCTTCTGTCATCGGTGCTTGCACAGTACCTTCATATCTCTACTTCCCACTTCTGTTTCCCCCACACAAATGCTACACTCCCAGGGCAAGCAGCAGCTTTCAATCCCCAAGCACTCTGCCCAGCTCCTGGCTTATTATAGAATCAATACATATTTGTTAGATTGATGAATGAATTCAGTATTGCCAGTTTCTATAATTCTGTGCCAGTCAATACTAATAGCTATTATTTTTGAGAACTTACTCTATGCCAGGCATTCTATAGTGATTATATCATTTAATTTTCACACGAGTACTATGAGTGAGGAAGTATTATCCTTTTACAGATGAAGACATTCAGCTCAGAAAGTTTCTAATACTGGAAGGGCCTTAGCTGAGAACAATTGGTGTATCATGTGCTTAGAAGTATAGTCCTTGACTATTTGGATCCCTCAGTTGAACAATATTATCTTTGGGCCTGAGAACGAATCACCACCTTTGCAGATCTTGGCACTATTTAATGTTTCCAACGAACGGTTTATTGAGCATGTAGGCAGCCATTAGAACTTCAGTTTGAGTCTCTTTATTTTCCCTTGATTCACTTGGATGGGTTAAAATTCTCACTCTTGGAGGCACACACTACATAGAAATGCAAGGAGGATTCAGTGCCACAAATATTTAGGAAAAGGATAAGATACATTTATTAGCATTTCAAATCCTCAGATAATATGAGCTCAATAGACTCTTTTACAATGAATTTTGTGTCTTAGTAGAGAAAAATGACCCTTTCTTTGCTTTTTTTCATGTTTCAATTCATGTTTCTAAAGATACAAACAACCAAGTTGAATATGATAGCTGAGGGATATTTTGTAATATTAAATGATTTACATTACTCTAAATTTGTATATATGACAATTTAAATACAATATGGCTAAAATATGATGCTATTTTAAATTGACAATTAAAATATGAACATTAAATGCTAGAATCATGAATAATTACATTTTTATAAAATGTGTAATAAGATTTATGAAATTTCAAAAAATTAAGTAAATACTTTTAGCTTTTTAAAATTTTATTTAAAAGTTTTATAAGTAATTATAATTTGTACTTGTTTTTAATCTTAATAGACATCTTGAATATTTAATTTAAAAAATAGAAAAATAATTCAATTAAAAATTTACATTTATTTTTAATTTCACATTTTGCTGAAAACATTTAAATTGTGTACACTGATTATAATTACATTGCATGTTTAATTAATGTTAGATTTAGCTTAGGGTAAAACTATCAGTAGAGCTCAGATTTTGTGAAAATTTCCATTATAACAATAAATTTCATGAATTTATTGAATTGAAGACAAGAAAATAAAATTTTAAAATATTTATACTTATATTAAATATTTTATGTTCATATTTGTCATTTATTTTGATTTACCTTTATTTTATTACTCATCTAATCATATGTTTCCTATTTTGTTGTATGAAAATATATCTAACAAGGTAGGATTATAAAACATATTTTTCAATACTTTACTAGCTTAATTTGTAACTTCTAGATATTTCTGCAAATGGTTTATGGCCCCCGAGGCCTATTTGCTCTTGCCTGTTTAGATATTTGTACCTACAGGAATTCCTAGGAAGAATGCAGCCTGTACTTACTATGTGTAGGTTACATTCATTGTTTGCAGAGGCTCAACATAACTTCTAGGGATCGGAGCCCTGAACCACAGAACTCAGATGCAGTTTATAAGCCCATCATGTCACCATTTCAGAAGATTTTATTAAGTCACTCTTAAATTTACCGCATTTAAACTTCCCAGCACAAAATTAGTCAGAAACAAACATAAGGGGAAACTCACAGAATCTGAAATTCACAGGGTTTTCATTTTGATATGCACTAAAGTTGCCAGAAGTTAGATATGATTATAACAAAAGGCAGGTATTCTATCACTTCCTCCCCACTCTCTGCCTCTTTCTTCTCAGCGAGTAATCCTAGCTTTGCAGAAGAGAAGAGGAAATGGGTGACTAGATGAGTTAGAAAACTAATACACCCTCGGTGTGTAACCACTAAATTATCTCCAGACTCCATGAAAATAGCACCAAAAAGAAGGAATTTTAACTTATTACAATTAAAATATAAGCATATGAATATAGCAAATTTAAATGGAGTCAGTTCAGTATGCAAAATAAAAAAACCATCCATCCTGGAAGCCCTAATTATCTTTGTATTCCCAGCAATTCAAAGAAACATGCTGTCCACAAGGCATTCACTTAGTGTTGACGATAAAGATGTTTGTGCATTTGCTTTTGAAACTTGGAAGAATGTCAGGTTTACATTTATATCCTTCTACACCTTTCTATCCTCAGTCCACTGATGACCAGACAAAAGAAAAACAGAGATGATATCAGCAAATAAATCAGTTTCTTAGTTGTAATGAGAATGGTCATGGACAATTGTGTGAAGGTTCTGCAGGGCTGCAATGTGGGGCTGGCGGGGAGGGTCTGCACTCCCCACCCCACCCCCCAGGTATTTATTAAATACCTATGCTGTGCAAAGCACCCTGCTATGTTCTGGGTGGTTACAGGATGAGAAAAACACTTGCAGTTTTAGAGGATGGAAATGGCACGTGTGAAGTAGAGGAAGGCAAGTAGGAAAACAGAATATCCCAACAGGCTGCATTCACTCTGACAAGGAGAAGCAGTAATTTTTGTTCTGGCTTGTTGCAAAAATAGAACCCTGAACCTTTCTCTTCTGCTGATTATAGTTTTACAGCATTGCCCATGGAGTAAACATACATTAAAAGCAATAAATAAATAAATATTTAAACTCTGGTATGATTGCAGACTCTCACTAATGCTGTAACAGGAAAAAAACAACAACGAGACAGTGTCTCTGCTTTCTGAAGACCTAATTAATGTTTATGAAGTGCTTTGAGATTGCCAAGCACTGTGGAAGGTTAGGATATTATTATTATTACCACAGATCTTTCAGCAGACATGACCTAGATATTCTTATAATCACAGCAGGAGTTGTTCATTCCCCATATAATTTATAAGGAGAGGGAAAAAAAGCACCCCACCTCTCTTCATGCTTGATTTGTCATTTGTTCTTGTTATACGTAACTGATCCTCAAGAGAACGTTGGTTTAGGCAACTATTTATTCTGTTCAGTATTATTTTGACATTTGATAATTACTAAAGTTTTTGTACATCTGTCTTTCCCAGAAGAAAAGACATTAAATGCTGCTTGTATGATCATTGGTTTTGCAGGAACTTGGCTTTGACATTATTCTTTTGGTAAACTTCCAGTTCAGGGATACGCAGATTATACATTTTCAGTATCATAGAGCTTGTACCACTCTGGTATTTTACAAAAGAAGCTGTTGGTTGAGAGAGGACCATTGTAAACATTCCGAATGAAAAAACTGACCTTTCTCAGTTTTCCCAATATATTCTAAAGTAGCTAGAAGATATCTGGAAATTTTTAAAAATAAAAGTTCAGATTGGAACAGAGGTCAGAAATTTCTTGGGAACCTCTTTCTAAGACTCCCAGTGGACCTCCCAAAGAAAACAAATAAGACCCCAAGAGCCAGGATAAAGGAGAGTTAATGTCCACAGTGAGGTAGACACTGTCAGCAATGATGCATACTGTTCTTGGGTGTAAGGTTTTGTGTTTTTTTCATATTTAATTTTACCGATCATAGCTTCTTCCATTGCAAAATTTTACTTGTGGTCATTAGTTCTACCAAGTCCAATTCT